TACATTAAAACATAAAACAGTTATTTTAATAGTTAATTTTAATAATTTAATGGTTATTTTAAATTGTAATAATATTTCACAATATTTGTTTTACTGTATTCTGTTTTACTGTATGTTTAATCAAATAAATGATGCATTGGTGAGCAAAGGACTTCTTTAAAAATCTTTTAAAAATCTTTCAAACTATAGGCTAAACCTTTGAGCAAATGTAGTGACATTTACATTAAAGGGGTCATATGATGCAATTTCAAGGTTTCCTTTCTCTTTGGAGTGTTACAAGCTGATTGTGCATAGATAAGATCCCTGAAGTTGCAAAGACTAAAGTCTCAAAACCAAAGAGATATACTTTATCAATGTTAAGACTCTGCCACGCCCCCCTAAAACGGCTCGTTCTAACACGACCCCACATATCTACCTCACTATGTGGGAATATTTGCATAATGTGCCCAAATGTGCACGCAAAGAAAGAAGGCGTGGTTTCAGTAACCGCAGTTAGTGTTGAAGCAGCCATGTCAGGGAGACGCTGTGTGTTTCTAGGCAAAAGCAAAAGCACTTTATTTGGCCTTCCGAAAGTAGATGCATTTAGGAATCTTTAAGATTACTTACAACAGAACAGCAATGCATTTTATGGACGACCGAAAAAAAGCATCATATGACCCCTTTAAAAGAGCATTTCACCCAAACATAACCGCACATTTCAACTAGACAGGCAGTATAAAGGCAAAAAATGGGTTTACATTTGTTATGTTGAGACCTGAATTATATTGAGGGTTGGTTAAATTGTACATGGAGCAAGATATGAAATTTCCTTCTGATGACAAAGACTCCCAAGGAATGCAAACTGGACAAAAACCTTGACATCACATAAAATCCTGTTGCACTAAGGTAAGCTCTTCAATGCTCCAGGAAATATTAAAACCTGCCACTGGGCATTCAGTTCTCCATGTAGTCCTGAGTGTTTGCTATAAAAACAGTGAATGTAGTCCTTGTTGTTCTGATCAGCCAGATTCTTATTTATAATTAAGACGGGTGACCTGATTCATATGCTGGTCTATTCTTTCAGCTGGCAATTAGCCTCACACACTCACACACTCACACACACTCACACACACTATGGATTATGTGAACATTTCAAAGCGGTAGACTCATAAACACATTGATCAGAGCCTGTAGGTACAAAAACCAGCCACTCATTATTTATTATCTTGAGATTATGTGCTTTTCGTCTAGTACATACTGTAATGTATTCTGCCTCTTGTGGGGACTGTGCAAAGTATTTCACCAATGATATTGGCTAAGGGAATGTGAGGATCTGGACGAACAATCATATCTATCTGGCCAAACATCTCCTAAAACCAAATTTTTTACACAATAAGAGAGACTGCAAGCAATCTGCAGTAAGAGAGATGCATTTGGGAGTATTGCATGCCTGCCAACTCTGGAAACCTTGCATAAACATGAAGATGCCAGTATGTGAGGTATCCATCATGATCAAGTTAGTTTTAATCACGGAGTCATGTATTACCGGCTGCTTGTGTGGATACTCTGGCACTAATGGGAGTGTATTCATAAAACACCACTAATGGTTTGTGTGTCCTCAACACACAAACAAATGCACATGTGCTCACACACATACCCTTGAGCAAGGACGATGGAGAAAGCTTTTCATATTCTAATGGGGACGCTCTGCTCACATGTTGCCTGAGAGATGAAGCATTCTTGGGCTTTTGCAGCAAGCAGTGCTGATGTAGATGTTGGCTATTGTATTGGACCAAACCCAACACTGTGATCCAGGAAAAATGAAGTGTTGATGAACAAAATTATTGCATGCCTTAATATTCCAGACTGATTTGTAACATCTGCTCATTAAGCAGACTTTACTACTAAAATGTACTTATGGCTAGGTTTGATCACCAAACTATATGAACAGCAAAAGTGAACCGATGTTACAGGGAAGTTGCATTGCAATCACTGGAAGATTTTAAGAGTTAGGAAATTAATAATCATAAGACTGCTGCATATGGTTGTATACTAAATGATGTATACTGTGACAAAAGTCTGACACAAAACCAGCATGCTGAACAGGCATTTTTGTAGCTTAAGTAGAGACTGGCGACAGCAACACTAAAGTCATGGGTTTGATTCCCATGTAATGAATGAGCATTATAAAGTCGCTCATCTGCCAAATGCATAAGAAAGTAATTTAAAAGTCAAAAGTAAAAATCCTAGATAAAATACTTGTATTGCAGGTGGCTGCAGTATTGTGGATACAAGAAAAAGATTGTATCTCAGCCATCAGGCCATGCATGTGTGAACCAGTCATGTTCGAAGCCTTTAGAGCTTTATAACATCCTCCTTGTCATCTTTTCACTTCAAGTCTCAGAAAACGGTCCTGTGGTTAGCATTGGGTGTAGTTTTTGTGACAATGCAGTTGTTCCCGCCAGCTTTGAATCAGCCTGATGCTTAGTACAGGGGCGTAAGTGCCAGCGAAGATTAATACTGATGACAGTGCGGTAGTCCTCTCATTTTTCATTAAGTCTGTCAGCGACTGGTAAATTGGGTCCTGCATCCTCCTCAGCTAGGCTTAGAGGAACACAGTCAATGGCTGTGTATGAAATGGCTGTAAGGTAACAATGACCTTGTCTGCTGTCCCAGCTGTACAACAGCCACCACATGGGTTCAGACCATTGCTTTCTTTTGACTAATCCAAAGATTTGAACTCTAACCACAACATCTCATTATCCAGGCTTTGACAGACACAGTCGGCAAACAGCACGCACACTGATCTGCTCTGCAAAATTCACTTAGATTCTCCTTGAGAGACTCCAGAATGCATTACTATAAGGTTGCATTCAATACGCTGCAATACAATGAGTAGATTGTGCAATGTTCACTGATTTTTTCCAATCTGCAAAACACTGGATGTCCTAATTTGCATAATCAAAAGACTAATTCCAGTGTTAATTGAGCCTCCCACTGTCTAATTACTTAAATGAAATGGAGTGCAATTAAATCTCTCAGTCTCATTTATTAAATTGTTTTGGCCAGCAACTGAAGCCTATTTACAATTTGAAGTCACATACTGTATGTCGATCTGACTTTGCATGTCATTTGGGTGCTTGTTTGACTTCTTTTATTATTATATGAAATGTAGCACATTAACAGTGGTTAGGCATGTGTGGCATTTGAGAGCCAGTCACTGCAAGTCTCATATTGTAGAGAAATACCGAAGATAATCACAGACTTTAAGAAGGACTCATCTGTGCGGGGTGACATAGGTTGCTGCAAACTAGTCTGAGTTCAATGGAGAATTACAGCCTGAAAACAAAACATTAGTAACAGCAAAATCACATTGGCTACATTCACACAGCAGCAAAATATGTTTTTCTGTACCGTTCGGAGTGAAAAACTAATTACGTTCATATAGAGCTCAGTTATGAAAGCACATTTTTTGTATCTCAAATGACTCAGCGGTCACAATCAAATTTAGTGAGACAGTTTTGTTTGCTTTGTAGGTTATCTTGTGGTCTATGTTCAGAGTTAAAGATGTCATTTATTAGATGTAAATAAAATCCTAAATTAAATCTGTTCATCTTATAAAGTCCATCATAAAAAATAATATCTCTTCACAAAGACTTGAACTCAACCACTCAAATCATGATTTGTTTTATGGTGACTTTATAAGCTTTTTTTTAAAATTTTGGTTACCTGGACTTTTAATGGAGGGACGGAAACCTCTCAGGTTTTATTAAAAATACTATCATTTGTGTTTTGAAGATGGGTTTGGAATGACATGAGGTTGAGTAAATGACAATTTTCCCTGCTGGGTGATCTATCCCTTTAAGGCTGCCACCTCTCTTAGGTTATGAAATTAAAGAAAATAGGAGTTTTATGAGTTTGTAGAGCAAGACAAAATGTTGCTTGGGCAGAGAAGGGAATCCAAGCAAAATAGCAAAAACAAGACGGAAGGTGGAGAAAACAACTTTTGTTATGTAAAGATCACAATTTGAGATCTTTATTTTACAAATAGATATTTTAGATACAGATATTTAAAAGATATATTTTAAGTTTAAGGAATTACACACGGCCATGTTTAAATTGAAACAGTAGTAAAATATGGGTTTCTGCCTTGATTAGGGGTGCTAAACAAGAAAATGAAGCGGAGATCTTCATTTTACAAATAGATATTTTAGATACAGATATTTTAGACATATTCTAAAATAAATATGAAATTACTGATGACTATTTAAATATTCACAAATTTTTACTGTGCAATTATGGTGTAAAATGCAGGGGAAAAAACTAAGATTAGGTGCAACAACTCTGTCCGACGTGAATCTGTATGTAAATAAAAACTCATAAAAGAGGGGAAAAAACACCAACACTAAAAGAACCAAAATACCCATCACTTCTATTATTATGGCCATTCCTTTCAAGTTAGAGGAGGAGACTGACTTTAGTTGCCCATCCATTCAGACATAATTTGATCATAACAGGGATTATGGTGTAAAATGCAGGGGAAAAAACTAAGATTAGGTGCAACAACTCTGTCCGACATGAATCTGTATGTAAATAAAAACTCATAAAAGAGGGGAAAAAACACCAACACTAAAAGAACCAAAATACCCATCACTTCTATTATTATGGCCATTCCTTTCAAGTTAGAGGAGGAGACTGACTTTAGTTGCCCATCCATTCAGACATAATTTGATCATAACAGGCTGTTGTACAGACAATCTGAGACTCACACTTGCTACTAAAATGGTTTTGTCAGTCTTAAACACTGACTGTGAACGCTGCCATTGTGAGTGTGAAGGTGATATATTTAGGTACAGTTTAGGGGCAAACATGACACGATCATTTTATTCTCCTTTCCCACTGAAAGCCTCCCATTGAGAGCTGACTCACAGCATTACTCACTTACTTTCAGGACTGACAGCTACATTGGTCAAGTGCTGAATGCAGTTAAAATAAAAGAGATATTTTATGAAGCTCCTCACCTGTATATTGGGTCTTGCATCACCATCATCTTGCTTTCATCCCAGGTCCATTCTTTTTTCTGCAGGAAATGAAAGTGATCATTTCAGTTCACCACAAGCCAGGCTTTAATATATGATAATATATCCGAGGCAGAAGCTTGCTCTATCAATTTTCTCTTTTAAGTTCCAGCTCCAAATTAAACCAAGAGATAAAGCACCTGTGTAAATCAATCATTTATGTTTAAATGAACAGCACGAGGCAACTTAAGATGCAGAAATTGCAGGGACTGACTGTACCCATTAACTTTGAGCTAAGCATCTTGCTAAAGGACAAAACCATCCTGGAAACCACCTTAAGGCAAAGTGTCTTGCCAAAGGGTGAACACAGCAGAGCAGGGCTGTGATAAAAATGTTATTCTCATCTAAACTAAAAAAAAAAAAAAAAAAAAAAAAAAAAAAACCCCAGGATCGAACCCTCAGTCTTTAAGCTTAAAGCTACTTGATGCTTATACTAGATCACTACCAACATCCCCATCTAAATTATGACCTGCAGTTATTGTTACTAAAAACGAGGTAGAATCTAAGCAGACCAACCATGGCAAACTGACACTGAATCACTGAATCTTGCCTCTAGATATGTTATGTAATATGTTCATATTGGAAGTTAACACTTACAATGAATCAATTTCTACTACAGCCCAATAAGACAATTAATGGCACAGTATTTTCATTCATAAAAGCCAATTATAGATCATTAAAAAGGATCTCTAGTCTCAAACACAAGAAAATACTAATATAAAGTTCCTAGTGCATTTTATATGCATAATATAGTTTGATTGCAAAGATACTATTTAAACTGAGCTGGATGTTGACATCACTGAATTCAATGATGAACTGTCTTTAACTGAAAAATTTGTGTTTACTATTGTCATTTTGCATTATTGACACTATTTTCCTAATTAATGCTGTTCAGTTGCTTTGACACAATCTGTATTGTTAAAAGCGCTATATAAATAAAGGTGACTTGACTTGACTTAATTTTTGTGCATTAAAAAAGGATTTTATTGCATAAAATTTGATGCAGCATAACACAAACGTTCCGTTACAACTATTGCAAACAATATACTTCATACAGCAAAATTATTTGCCTGTAATAACTGAATTTTGTAGCATCTGTGCTGTTAAATGGTAACATTTGTGTGAAATGAATAAATAATAAATAAACAAAATGATAAAAATGATTAAATAAATAAATACAAATAAATTAATGCTTGCATGAATGAAAAAATATCATTCCCCCTTTAACAAATTAAACATATCATAACTAGTTTTAAACTAAACTTTTAGTTTACCTTTTTCTTTTTTCGCAGTGCTACTTTCACCCCGTCCACGGACACGATGATGTTGACTTTCTTCTTTTTGATATTCTTTACTTTAAATTCATACTGTAAAGAGGACAGGAAAGATAGAGATCATTATGGGAAGAAATATCAATACAGAGTAATTATTTTTCCACCCTTCCAGGACACCCAAGGATACTTATATTAATTAAATTCAATCCAAGACCGTATTTAAATAGAAATCATGCCGTCCTTCCTCTGCAAACATCAATAACTTCACCCTTTCTTATGCCCTTGCAGAGAACGAGCTCAAATGCCATTAACATTTCGACAAATGAAATGCAAGATTGGAACTTTTAAATGAGCCAAGCGCTTATCAACAGTGTGGAAATCGGAAAGGGAACAGCAAAGCCTTTGAAGTGCATCTGGATAGAATCGAGTTCTTTAGTAAATGGCTTTCTCTATAGCTTCTCAGCTCTGAGTTAGTATGCAGCGCTCTTCCGCTATTCAGAGAGGCATTAGCCTGCTTAGAGTATGGATGAGGGTGTCGGTACAAACAACTGTGAGCAAACACTCTTACACAAGTAAACAAGAGTCTCCGCATGGACAGCATGAAGAGCAGCAGCGTGTTCTCATTTTTCATTCCTACTCATGTGCAGTATACAAATTCATAGGGACACACAATATTGTTAAAAAGTACACTAAGTTGCCATTGGGCCTTAATTAATACACAGAACGTCAAATTCAAGCCTAACATCTTTCAAAGCAACATGCTGAAATCTTTACACCATCAATACCACCACAGCATAGTCCTTCTAGCTGCTCTGCATCTTGTTTGTTCACTAGCTAATGTTAGATAATAAGGAGAAAGTTTGCTCTTTATGCGTCTTCCTGCTTACAGACATAAAAGAAAAAAGTCGATTATATATGACCCATTTTGGGCTGTTTTGGCAAAACACAATTCAGACCAGACACTGTTGTCACAAAGATGCAACATGTTTAAACCAAGATGCAAAATTCAGTGTAAAATAAATTAGATCAAATACAATATGACTATAGATGAATCAAATACAAGTAAATATCAGTAAATTATAAATAAACCATTAAAAGTAGTCTAATAAATATTAATACATGATGATATCCATATTTTTCTTCGCACACGAGACTGAATCAGATTCACTGAAAGCAGAATCAAACTTCTCAACTCTGTCAACATTAATGCAAAATTGAAAATGAGAGATGCTATTAAAATATCTCATCATATCACATTTACCATTGCTCGATGAAATGCCACAGGCAAAATCCAGTCATTTCAATAGGAATCCGTATGCATAGGAATTTTGTGTGAGCGCGAAATATTTCCCCATGTATATGTTCGAGTTGATCATGCAAATTCATTATGCCAACCAAATGAAAGCTGCTTGGTTTGAAAGTGACTTCTATGTGAACCGTGCTTCAAATGCGGCTTCACTATTGACAATGTTCTATGGAACTTTTTTGTCTGCAAAATTTCACTGAAATATCACACCTTAAGCGCTCTAATACTCCCAATCCTACCATCACAGACTTTAGGAACCTCAATCATTGTGAAATTCACAATGTTGATTAATAAAAAAAAAACATGATATTGATTCAATATATCATGCAGCTATAAAGAATATAAAATTAATTCATGAAAACATGCATGGACAAGAGCAAGGAGAGAAATTATTAGCAGTAAACAAGCAAAAGCTGAAATGTCAGGGTATAGAAATAATCCCCCGCCCTTACTTAAAGGGGTCATCGGATGCAAAATTCACTTTTCAAGTTGTTTGAACATAAATGTATGTTGGAAGTGTGTGTACACATCCATCCTATAATTATAAAAATCCATCCAGTGTTTTTTTTTTAAATCCCTATTTTAAATTCCCCTTTCTCAAACCAGGCTGTTCTGAGATTCCTGTCAGAATGACATAGTTCTGTACAGGCCCCTCCCACGATAGTTGATTGACAGTAGTGTTTCAGCACAGACTGGACTGGTGTCTTACCTTAGACCCACCCTGAGTGAGCTGTCATCAGTCCGCCATTGTGTTGACTCTGGTGCAGGGGAAGACAAGATGTCTCCGATTAAGCGATTGAGGTGCTTTATTGTTGGATGTAATAATGAATATAGCAATCGTCATTTACTCCCGACATCTGAGCTGCTGAAGACGCAGAGGATTAACGTTACTTTCGCTTTGAAGTGAATGCGCCACTCCCGATCAGCCTAAATGCATCTATGTTCGCTTGAATCATTCGTGATCCAACCTCATCTACAGAAGAAGTGAGTATAAGGGTTTCTTATGAATCTTTGCAAATCACCTTTCCTAATAATGCACGTTATGCAAAATGACGTTAAAAATGTTTATGCTTCATTTACATAGCCTTCCTTATATGGTATCAGCCCATATATGGGTTCATTTATAGAACCTGAATTACAGATTTTCAAAAAAATACTTAGTTTTAAATCTCCAAAAGCGCCTATGTTTTTTTTGTGTTTATAGTAATATTTGAAAAGTATATAATGTTATTTATAAAGAATTACACTCATATTTTGTAGTTCAAAGGGTTTTCTTTACAATGAAACCATTTTTTTTCATTTCCTCCATTGTATGTGTGCAGGGTAAACATTTGAATTTGAGTATGTTAAATTTAGGCGAAAATACCAAAAAACGCCCCGAGCTTAAGTGGTTTTAATGATCTTTATTTTACAGGGCCAATCATCATTCAATATAATTTAAGGCTCAGCACAGCATAAAAAATATCAATAAAAAAACTAGAATAAAACAAAAGCACTAATATACAAGCTGCCAAGGCCGCCACATGCACCTAGGTGTTAATACTAACCAGGTGACGGCACGTTTACCGCTCTTTTCCATTTTTACCCCCTCTCTGCAGTAATGCCTTCCTGTTTGTCTCATTTTAATTGGGTTTCTTTCAGCCACCTGGAGCCCATTTCTTGTCTCTCAGCAGGTGCTGAGTGAAATTTCATCTAGTATTGACACACTGAGGTCAAAGAAGATAAAGACACTGCTGTCTGTAAGAGACATATGAATTAAAGATTAAACCAAAAGATAAAACCATTTCACTAGATCCTGCCTAAAACAACTTTTGTGATTAAACTTTCCTTTTCAGGTTCTGACCATGCAAAAAGAAATGAAAATATGACTGGTGTTTAATTCTGCAATGGTTACTTGAAAATAATCTTGTGTACTAAATACTGAAGAAAGAACTCAATTTGCTCAAGATGTGCATAACAGGCATGGCAAAAACTTTACACCAGTGCTGAAAACAGAACGAAGTTGAGACGTGCATACTCAAATTCAAACAATGAAGAGCATTGAGCTTGTCTTGAATTCCTTTCTAAGCTGAACCTACAAGGTCACAGCAAAGTTCAAACAACCAGATGAGAAATCTAACCATGCTTTCAGAATGGTTTCAGAGACAAACCTGAATGTTTTACAAGGAGAACTGAGAAAAAAAATGTATATCATACAAAATGTAATAAAATATGGCAGTGATTCCTGTACTGAACCATCAAAGAACCAAAAAAGCAACAAGCAAGAATACGAATCCTAAATAATTTGAGTCATGCAAAATAAGCACAGCACCACCAGTAGTATGATTTATGAACATATTCTTTTAATAAATTGTTCAAACGCACAAACTATGAATCCTTCACTAAAAGAACTGAATTGACCTGATGTAACCAGAGTAACCTCTCCGACTTGACAAAATGAAGCAGTTTGTTGATATGACAACATGCAGTTAAAAAGATACACAGTTGCACAGATACAGATACACCTATCTAGACACTTATTACTTTTTAAACATTGTTCACTAAGGGATTATTAGACACATTTGTAAAAGAAATTGGACATAGCTACAGCTTGTGAGCAACTTTTATTAGATCTATAACAATAATATCTATCAAAACATTTGGCGAAACCAGAAAGACTTTATGTGACTTTTAGGCCTGGTAAAAATAAATAAATAAATAAAACGAAATTTCATAATATGTTTTTCAATGATTGTGGGAACATTGATATATTGTACACGACTGTTCAAAAGTTTTGGGTCGGTAAGATTTTTTAATGTTTTTGAAAGAAATCTCAAGCTCTCCATTGTTGCATTTATTTAATCAAAAATGCAGTAAAACAGTAATTGTTATGTATTATTACAGTGAGTTTAGTATAGTTGTTTTCTATTTTATTATATTTTAAAATGCTACTTATTACTGTGAGGTCTGTACATTTGTAGCCACTTCAGTCTTCAGTGTCACATGATCCTTCAGAAATCACTCTAATATGCGAATTTAGTCAGAATCATCCCTTAGTATTATCAACAGTTGTGGAAGCCATGATACATTTTTCTCAGGATTTTTCTGGGAAACTCTAGTGTTAATCATAGAATGAATATGTCTGAGGACTAAATTCTTTAATGAATTGTCTCTAATTACTCACTGAACTGCAGATGTCTGACTCGTGAAATCGGCTACACAAACAAAATCCTGTAGGAAACACTTTATCTTTCGAACAAAGTATTGTTCCTCAGACAAAAAGGTGATTCAAGTAGCCAGTGTTTATTATGGTTTACACTTACAGCTTCACTAAATAATATGGCAAGCACACAATCTACAGATCCCATTAGGCCTATATCCCTAAAGTCATGCTGATTCTGCTATAAAAATTAAGGGATCATAATTGCTATTTTCTATTATACACTTCACAGACACCAAGGACGCAATTCCTCTGCTGTGAGGTGGTGAAAATAATGCACAACTAACAGAGCAGAAGCCATTAATTTGATCTACAGCGCACCTTTAAAATGTCAGGCTCGTTTTGCTTATTGCAATAGCATTCACAATATCCTACGTCGGTCGCTTTTGAGAAATGGCATCTTTCAACAGAATGACATTCACAGACTGTTGAGGCTAGATTAGGATTTTAGTAACCCTCCTGGAATCATGGGATTCAGTGGAATACATTGGCAGCAATCTACAAATCAAATCCTGGGTCACTCGTGGCAGCTACATGAACGAACACAGGCTGGGGCAAAGACTTCCTTTATTACACTCCTACACTACT